TTCTTCTCTCTTTCTTTATTTTTTTCTTTTTCCATTTTCGTTTTTCTTTTCTTCCTTCTTTTCTTTTTTTCTCTTTTCTTTCCGTCTTTCCTTCTTTTTTTCTCTTTCTTTCTTCCTTTTCGTTTTTCTTTTCTTCCTTCTCATTTTCTCCTTTCTGTTTTCTTCTTTTTTGATTCTTGTTTTGTTTTGGTCTCTATTGTTATTATTTCCTTCTTTCTTTCTTTTTTCTTATCTATGTTTTTTTTTTGTTTTTTTTCTTCTCTTTTTCTTTTTTCTTGTTTTTTTCTCTTTTCTTCTTTTTTTTCTTTTCCCTTCTTCCCTCTTTCATTTTTTTTCTTTTCTTTTTTCCCCTTTCTCTTCTTCCTTCTTCATTTTCTTTCCCCCTTTCTCTCCCTTGCTCACTCTCCTTCTCCCTCCCCCTCCCTCTCCCCCTTCCCCTCTCTCTCCACCTCCTCTCCTTCAGCCCTCGTCATTACTCCCCTCTCCCTCTCCTTCCCCACCTTCTCTCCCTCTCCTCTCCTTCCCCACCTTCTCTCCCTCTCCCTCTCCTTCCCACCTTCTCTCCCTCCCCTCTCCTTCCCCACCTTCTCTCCCTCTCTCCTTCCCCACCTTCTCTCCCTCTCCTCTCCCTCTCCTCTCTCGCCATCTCCCTCCTCGAGTACCCGGATGTAACAGCAATGGCGTGTATGGCTCGCTCTTCCTCTTCCGCCTCGAGTTCTGTTGTCGTTGTAGGCGCTAGGCAGGGGCTGGGCAGGGGGCTGGCAGGGGCTTGGCAGGGGGAGTGGCTGGGGCTGGCTGGTGCTGGCAGGGGTTGATGGGGCTGGCAGGTTGTAGGGATGGTAGATGTGGCAGGAATGACACGAGCTAAAATGGGTTGGACAGGCGTTGGCACGGGCTAAAAGGGGTTGGCAGATGTTGACAAGGGATGACAGGGGCTAGAAAAATATAAACTGATGAGGATAGGCAGGAGTTGACAGGGGCTGCAGGGACTGACAGGCACTGGCAGGGACACAGGCGCTGGCAGGGACTGACAGGGACTGACATGATTTGATAGATTTTGGCAGGGAATGGCACGAGCTAAAAATGGGTTGACAGGCGTTGGCACGGGCTAAAAGGGGCTAAAGAGATTGATCAGATGTTGGCAGGGAGCAGAAAAGGATGACAGGGGCTAGAACGAAACAAACTGATACGGAATAGGGATAGGCAGGATTGACAGGGCTGCAGGGTTATTTAATGTTGCAGGGACTAGAAAAGGATGACAGGGGCTAGAAAAAACCTAATGAGGATGGGCAGGAGTTGACAGAGGTTGGCAGAGGCTGGCAGGGTTTGGCAGGGGCTGACAGGGGCCAGGGGCTGACAGGGGCTGGCAGGGGTTGATAGAAATTGGCAGGGGCTGACAGGAGCTGGCAGGAGTCGGCAGGGGCTGGCAGGGTTGATAGAAATTAGCAGGGCTGGCAGGGGTTCATAGAAGGCAGGCTAGAGGCTGGCAGGGGCTGGCAGGGGCTGACAGGGGCTGGCAGGGAAGGGGAAGGACGAGGAAGGCGCTTCCCTCCCGTGCCGACCACCGAGCGAAGTCTCCGTCTAGACAGGAGGTCGTTAGGGAGTCGTTCAAAGTCGTCCGCCTCCTGAGTCGTCTCCGCTGATGCCAGTGTCGCTTGGTTGTCTTCGTTCTGTCTGTTTGTCTGTCTGTCTGAATCGCTCTGTCTATTTTTCTCTCTCTCTTTCTCTTTGGCTGTATGTCGTTATCTCTCTCTCTTTATTACTTTCTCTCTGTCTTTTTCTCGCTTTCTCTGTTACTTTGTTTCGTCTCCCTTTCTCTCTCTCTCTCTCTCTCTCTCTCTCTCTCTCTCTCTCTCTCTCTCTCTCTCTCTCTCTCTCTCTTCTCTCTTCTCCTCTTCTCTTCTCTCTTCTTTCTCTTCTCTCTCTCACTCTACTCTCTCACTTATTTCTTCACAATGAATTTTTTTTCCTTCCCTTTTCCTTCCTTTCAATGGCTAGAAATCTCTTGCTTCCTCACTCTTGATTTTTTTCCTTTTTCATATCCATTTTCTCTCCCCCCCCCCGTTTTATATTTCTTTCTCTTTTTCCCGCTTACTTTTCAGGACGATTAAACATTTACTTTGCGTATTCATTTCCTGCTCCACCGCGTACAGAATAAAGTTTATCAATAATCTCCTATCTATACTGCTGAGAGAACTTTTAAGTTAGTTTTGAATTTCCATGCGGACTTGTTGCTCAGTCTGGAGAACCGCGAGATTTAAACTTTTTGCGCGGGAATTTTACGCGGGAAAAATGTTTGGTTCTTTTCCAAACAGGTTTGTATTACCATCTTTTCAATTTTGTTATCATTGCTGCTGTAATTGTTATTGGTATTTGTGGTAGCAGAGCATTATTATATCTAATGTTACTTGTTAGTCCCGGATCAGAATCTGTTCGTGTTTATTTTTTTTTTTTTTCCCTTATTTTACTGTTTATATTGGTTATGTTGGTTTAGTATTAGTAGAGGAGTGCTAGCCAGTGTTTCCCACGTAAGCAAAGGGCGATTAGTTTAGCTTATCGCCAGGTTAACCTGGTAAGTGTAGTGTGTGCTGTTTTTTAGTGTTGTATAACAATTTTTCCTTTTTTTTTTTTTTTTTTTTTTTTTTTTTTTTTTTTTTTTTTTTTATTTTTTTTTTTTTTTTTTTTTTTTTTTTTTCTTTTTTTTTATTCTTTTTTTTTTTTTTTTTTTTTTTTTTCTTTTTTTTTTTTTTTTTTTTCTTTTTTTTTTTTTTTTTTTTTTTTTTTTTTTTTTTTTTTTTTTTTTTTTATTTTTTTTTTTTTTTTTGAATAGTTTCGATTTTTTTTTTGATGAAAAAAAGAAAGTTTTCGAAGTCCCTTAAAACTTGTTTACATGGGGGAAATTTTACGCGTGAAAAAAAAAAAAAATTTATATTTTTTTTTTTCCAACGGGGTGTAGGGGTTTTCTGGCGTGAGTCTTTATACCCGCCCGCTTTTAATCACATGTTTTGTATTTTTAAATTGCTGCTCTTCTTTAGTTGCAAATATCGTTGACATTTGTTCTTTTTTTTGTTGACATTTTTGGTTGTTGTAATCTTCATCTGTCATGGTCATTAATGGAAGGTATACAGCCAAGCCATTATTACATCTGCTATGATATACTAGTATATATATATATATATACTAATAGTATATATATATATATATTATGCATAGTCTCCATGATGATATATATATAATGGTATATATATATATATATATTATATATATATATTAGTAATATATATATATATATTATATTATATAGTGTGTAATATATATATTATATATATATATTATATATATATATACTATATATATATAATAATTACTCATTTTTATCCTATCACAACATTCTTCTCATTTATTCTATATTATTAATATATAAATTATTAGTAATTACTGTGATATAGTATTATATATATATATTATATAATTATATATATATATATATATGTATATATATATGGTTATATATATTATCGTCTTATACATAATATATACATATATATATATATTTATATATATATAGTATATATACTATATGTTATATATATATATATATATTATATATCATATATAGTATATAATATATAATTATATACATATATATATAAATATATATACTATCATAATTATATATAATATAATATATATAATTAATACACATTTATATATATTTTAGAGGTTTATATTAATTATATATATATATATATATATTATAATGTATATAAATTTATTTAATATAAGATTATATATAATTAATTATATACTTATTACTATCATATATATATGTATTATTCATATATATTAAATATATTATATATATTATCATATAATTACTACACACATTATATAATATATTTATATATATAATATATTATATATTATATAATATTAATATTATAACTTATAGTAACTTAAGTATAATATAATATTATATATCATACTATTATTATTATTATATATATATATATATATATAATATATATATATATTTACTCATATAATATATACATTATACTATCTATGTGATATTTATTAACTCATTATATTATTATATAGATATGTTAATATATATATATATTATGAATATAATTATATGATATATAGATATGTTTTGATTGATTTTGATGGTTATCAGATTGGTATATGTATATGTAGTATGGGTATATGGTATTATACTATATAATATATATATTGATAATAATATATATGTACTTCACTAGTAGTATATATATATATATATACCATAAATTATATATATATATATATATATATAATCTAAATATATATATATATATATATAATATGACTGTATCTTATATAATATATATATTATAATGTTATATATTAATGCTGTAATTGTAATCGTAATCTGTGGTAATGGAAGTAGCAGCATTATTACATCTGCTGTTATTGCTAGTCCCGGATCGTACTTATAATCTCTTTTTTCCTCCTTCTTCTTCCTTTTCATTTTATAGTCGGGTGATATGAGCTGGTAATTTTTAAATCTTATTCTCGTTATTATTATTACTGTTGCTGTAGTGTTTGTAGATGTTGTAAGTTGTGTCTCGTATCATTGTTCACAACCTTATAGTCGTAACATCGCTATTCTTGTTCTGAAGTGCGAGATTTTAATTGCTTTACGCGGGAAATTTTCGCGGGACTTTCCCCCCAGCGGGTTTAGGTATAGCATTTTTCCATTTTCTTATCATTACTAATTGCAAGTCTTATTTAAGTGGCAGCAGCAGCATTGCATTTATTGTTATGTCTTGCTTCCTTTTTTTTTTCTCTTTATATTTGTTTCTTCTATATTGGATGGTGATTGAGTATTTTTTAAAAATGTCGACTTTGTTGTTAGTGGTAGTAGAAGTAGTGTCTGGCAATTTTGCTCATAACTCATTCTTCTTGTGTCATTCTCTCTCTCTCTCTCTCTCTCTCTCTCTCTCTCTCTCTCTCTC